CCCAGCTTCTAGAGAACAAGAGTCATACTGTTGTCTCCTTTATTTCCTGGGAATCCAGTACAGGATCTGGCACCTGGTCAGGGCTCAGTCAATGTTTGTGGAATGAATGAGAGAATGAAAGGCTGCTCTCACTTTTTTTTTTTTAAGATTTTATTTATTTCACAGAGAGAGACAGTGAGAGAGGGAACACAAGCAGGGGGAGTGGGAGAGGGAGAAGCAGGCCTCCCGCCGAGCAGGGAGCCCGATGCGGGACTTGATCCCAGGACCCTGGGATCATGACCTGAGCCGAAGGCAGACGCCCAACGACTGAGCCACCCAGGCGCCCCGCTGCTCTCACTTTCTGAAGTAAGATTGCAAAGCAGCCAGTACCTTTCCCCTTCCCCAGGGCCTGGACACCCGAAGCCCTTTGATTGCAACTTTTCTTGGCTTTCCTTGTCCCCCATTGCGGGTCTTATGCTATTACACTTGCAGCTCCCTCCCATGCTGTGGACCGTGGCCCTCTCCTCTCCAGCCCTGTGTGCAGGAAGAATCGGGATGGAAGACACGGGTCATATATGTACCCGACTTTGCCCACAGGCCTTCTTGCTCTCCAGGATCCTGCTGCTTTCCTCTCTTCTCCCAGCTGTCCCCAGCCGGCTTCTGTGCTTTCCCAAGCAGCTTGAATGAGGGATGTAGCTTTTGGTTCATCTCTTTTGAACCACAAGGTCCCCATCTTTCTTACAGCACTTCTGAAACCCCTTCCCTTATGATCCCAGAGGTTTCCAGGAGAGACAATGCAAAGAATTAAAGGCACTCTCAGATGACCTTAGGTTTACTATAAAGCCACCCAGGGACTCCCTGAGTTCATTTTCTGCAGAATGCAAAATTCCCCAGGCTGGGCTTTCCGAGCTGTTGCTGGGTCACTGCGATATTATTTTGTTGCTTCTTTTTCAGGCAGCCATTCTCAGGCCCTGGCTTCTCTAATCCTGAGCTGAGATTGGCTTCTGCTTCTCTGGCTTTCCCTTTGTGTGCTTTGTGTTCAGTCTCTCCAGGAACCAGGCTCTGATGGGCTCACTTGATCACAGTCTAATGCACGTTCTCATGCCAGACCTCCTGTAATGCTGCTGATTTGTTCCATATGTTTGATTCTGGTAACCAGGACAATTCCTGGGCAGTCTTTTGTGGCTAGGTCTGGTAGCAGAGCCAAGAGAATCAATGTGTGGTAACTTATGTGGCAAGAACTGCCTCTGACCACTGGGTCCTGGGGCTGTCCGTGCCAGGCACATGGACGCCCCTAGAGTGCAAACTCCTCTAACACAACTGTTTTTGCAGGTGATAATTCACACCTCTTCATTCTCTTCCATTTGCCCCCTTTTCCCACTCCATGAAGATACCTAGTTAATGAAACAAGTAGATCATCTAATTTCACCCTCCCGACCCACAACTCAATTTCAAGCGTGAACTTTTCATTTTGGAGGCATCCTTAGGTCTGCATCATCTGGTCTGCTGCAGGAGGCTGGAGCACCTCAGCAGTGAGGTCCGGATCTAAGATGATGGCTCATGTCTTAATAAGGAACTGTTACTTCTGTTCCCCTATGGGCAACAGTCTAGGGGCCTGCATGCTCCAAAGGTATCAGAAGCAAGCGGGACCAGGACTCTGAGGTCTGTATTCTCTGGTAGATGACTTTTTTTTTTTTTTTAAGATTTTATTTATTTATTTGGCAGAGAGAAAGAGAGCACAAGCAGGGGGAGCGGCAGGCAGAGGGAGAGGGAGAAGCAGGCTCCCTGCCGAGCAGAGAGCCTGATGGGAGCCTCTATCCCAGGACCCTGGGATCATAACCTGAGCCGAAGGCAGATGCTTAATCAACAGCCACCCAGGGCCCATGTCATTTTTAAAAAATTTATTTATTTATAAAAAAGATTTTATTTATTTGACAGAGAGAGACACAGCGAGAGAGGGAACACAAGCAGGGGGAGTGGGAGAGGGAGAAGCAGGCTTCCTACAGAGCAGGGAGCCTGATGTGGGGCTCGATCCCAGGACTCCGGGATCGTGACCTGAGCCGAAGGCAGACGCTTAATGACAGCCACCCAGGCGCCCATGTCATTTTTTTTTTTTTTAAGATTTTATTCATTTATTTTAGAGAGAGAGGGAGAAGGAGAGAAAGAGCACCAGTGTGTGTGTGTGGGGGGGAATTGAGCAGAAGGAGAGAGAGAGAATCTCAAGCAGACTCCCCACCAAGCATGGAGCCTGAGGGGGGGCTGGATCTCACAACCCCAAGATCACGACCTGAGCTTAAATCAAGAGTCGGACACTCAACCAACTGAGCCATCCAGGTCCCTCTGACTTTGTCATTCTTGTATGAAGACTCTTTCCTCCCTTCTAGAACTCCACCCCTGCTGCCTAAGCTGGTAACCAGCTCACCTTTCCTTACCCCTTTGATCACAAGCATTTTGCAGAGGCTACTCCAGGGAAATTAAAGGAGTCAGGGTGCTACCAGTGACAGCTGGTTACATTTCACCGCTCTCCTCACACTTATGAACATGACAGTGAAGCCTGAGGTGGATGAGCTGTACCTCTCTAATACCAGATCTGTGCTGTGCTGGGAGGTTTTAGTCATATGCCTGGAAGGTGCAGCGGAGCATTTTTTATTTTTGGGCAGCTCATTGTCCTCAAACGATTGAACAACTCATTATTTGTATCATTAAAGTCAATTTATCACATATAGCAAAAAAAAAAAAAATCCATGTAATCATGGTTATTCCTGTATTGTGCTCTATTGATCTAACCATTTTTGTCTACCTCTTTGTCAGTATCATGCTGCTGTGGTTACTGCTGCTTTCTTTACAGGACATTTTGCTACTGCTAAGGCAAGGCCCCTATTAGTGCCTCTTACTCTTTTTTTCCCTCAAAATGTTTTGGCTGTGCTCATGTGAGTCTTCCAGAGGAATTTCAGAATCAACCTGTTAAGTTCCAAAATCTCCCCTTTGGGATTTTGATGGAAATTGCATTAAATATACATCATCATCATATCAAATCTTCTCATCAGGAACATTTTGACTTTTCATTTATTTAGGTCATTTAAAGTTCTCGGGTTTTCTTCATATATTTCTGAAAATGTTCCAGGTATATACTCTCTCTTTTTCCTGTTTCAGCGAATGGGATAATTTTTTTTTTTTCCCATTTCAGACTTTAATTTTTTAAAAAGATTTTGTATTAGTCAAGGTTCTTATGGTAGCAATTTACAGAGATACACTCTTAGGCAAAAAAAAAATAAATAAAAAATTGAAAAAAAAGCAAGACCGCATCAGTTTCTCTCTCTAATAAATAAATAAAAAATAAAAAAAAAAAAAAAAAAGTTGGGTGGGAATTCTTTGGAAGGTGGCCAAGGCGTCCTCTGCAGCCTGAGGGCAGAAGGGGGAGTGGGCCTCACAAGGGGGCCTGCAAACAACTGCTTAGTTTCTCTGTGCTGCTTCTCTGAGTAGATGTTTTCCTCTCCCTCTGTAGTTTATAGCTTTCTTTGCTGTTCTCTTTGTTTCACTCTCACATTTCTGGGAAGCAAAGTGATGTAGAACAAATCTGGCTACAGGGTCTATCCATATGAATGGAGCAATTCTCAGAATCTACAGGCTGTGGAGACACTCCTGAAACAGATTTCAAAGCTTCGTAATGCCAGGAGTTTCAAAACAATCTGTCTCCTCTTGCCTAAGAGGGTTAGAGTTGGCAGAAATGGTATGGAAGAACCCTCCCTTCCTAGTTCCAGGTGATTGATAAACAGGGGCCGACAATCATCACTGCTCTGGGATTAATAATTCAACAAAAATATATTGAGCCCCTACTGCTTTGCTGTTCACGATGTGCTTCTACTTACTTCATTTTGGCTCAGATCACATAGTATATCCCATAAACGCTAAATTGTGTGGTTTAGGGACATAAATTGCCATTTCAAATATTTTGACTGTAGAAAATAAGATCCTTCAAATTTTGCAACTTGAGATAAAGATTACTATATTCCTACCCTCAACTGGCATAGGATTCATTTTGATTTCCCTCTGTAGAAAAGGCACTTATTTAAAAAAAAAAACAACTCTTCTTGAAAACCAAATTCTGTTAGAAGACATTTTTTTTTTTCGGGGTAGGAGGCTTTATTTCACGGGAGGGGTGGGAGGGAGAAACTAGACAGAGGGCAACAGGCGGTGTGGTAGGGGGTGGACGCTTGGATAGGGACTGGGTTGGGGAAGGGCTGCCCCTAGGCCTGTTGGGAAGGAGAAACTACATTTTTCTTTACGTAATCTAGTTCAGTAGTTGGCCTCCTTTTTTGACTGGGAGCCAGGTGAAAGCTACAACAGGAACTTGGAACCAGGAAACTTTGGCAGTCTTGACTAAGTTAGTTACTAATTGAACGACCTTCGCAGGGAACCTCGCCTCTGTGAACATGCTTTCTCATTTTCAAACCCGGCATAACAATTTCTGGATTCAGGGGTTATGAAAGGAAACACAAAAAGCAGAAGACTGGATACACGTGAGGCATTACCAATCGCAATGTGAATCTGACACTAGCGAAGGAAAAAAGAACAACGAGTTTGGAGGGACATTAAGGAAAAAGTCTCAAGGTAACTCCAGAGGTGGCATCTTGGCAAGCCCCAGCTCCTTCAGCAGATACCAAAAAACTTCATATGGCGAACACGCTTTCCTTTAATTGGAAAACGACTGTTCGCTTTGGCCGAGTCCTTTCCTGAGAGAAAATCCCATTGCTCCAAACAGTGCTTCCCCGCCCAGTCTGCAAACAACGAGTCAGGTTTTCCTCACAGGCCTGGAGGGGCCCCGCCGAGCCGAGCGGGAGACCCACGCTGAGCGGAGCCCACAAGCCGGGCGGGTGTGGGGGCAGGGATGGAAGGGCCCCGCTTCCGGCCCCAGCAGGACCAACTGCCGAGGGACCGCCCCGTCCGCACCAAGCCGTCCCCGCCCCCGTCGGACACGTAAGCACGACTTAGGTCATGACTTCCGGCATCGCAGCCGTGCTTTCCGGTTGTTCCGCCTACCCGCCTTCCTTCCGGGGCGGGACTTCCTGGCCATTATTGATAGGTGCCGGACTGCAGAGCTGGTGGGAGAGCACACAGGAGGTCAGTCTGGGGGGCCAGGCCTTACGCTCCTCGAAAGGGTACCCGGGAGGATGCTCTTCCTCGCTCTCTTTCTCACTTTTTTCTCCCCGCGAGTCCTCGTTTGCGCGGACGTCCTGGGCTTTTGGTACCACCCCCCCACCTGAGGCTCTTCCGCTTCCTCTTTTCCCAGGCTCCGCCCCCAGCGTCTCGTGGCCATGACGACCGCCCAGCGGGACTCCCTGGTGTGGAAGCTCGCGGGGCTGCTGCGGGAGTCCGGTGAGTGGATACGCGGTTGATCTGGGGCTGGGGCAAGGTGGGGGTGCCTTCCAGAGACACTCTCCCCCTTAGGAAACAGAGTTACAGCTGATTGAGGTTATGAGGGTTCGGGCGTCAATTCATTTTTTTTTTTACTCCTCTGAAGTTTATTCTCTCTGGTGCCGTTGCTTGCAGGGTCCTTTGTTTTTTGACATTTCACACCTTAGCCATCCTTCGAGACCCAACTCCAGTGCCACTTCCTCAATGCGTTCTCTGAAACTCTCAGAGGAAAGTGATCTTTACTTGGCTGTAAATCTGTGGAGACCGGGGACTGGTATAATCTTTGCTCTGTGTCAAGGCACTTAGTATAGTTAAAAGCACGAGATTTGGAGTCAGATGCGCTTGGGTTGGAATCCCAACTCTTCCAAACGTGGCGAAGTTGTTTAAGTTTTCTGAGCTTCAGTTTTCCACAGCAGGAAAATGGCATAATGATTGTACTTAACTCGAAAGGTTGTTGTGGGGATTAATTTTAACCCATGTAAAGCATTTAGGACAATGTTTGCATAATACGTAAGGGCTCAAAATTGGTAGCTATTGTTACTACAGTTTTTTCTCTCCGTGCCTGGGCACAGTGGAGCCACAGTGGTTCAATGTGTGGTTGACGTTAGTTGTGGTAGAACAAGCCCTGATTTGAGATCAGACAGAAGTAGCAACTTCCTATCATCTATATAAGCTCAATCAGTGTTCTTCTCCAAGCCCCAGTTTCCATCTCTTTAAGGGGTGGTCAGTAGTGCTTCTCTTTAGGAGATTCTGATGAAGTTTAAATGAGGTAACAAAGTTGTCTGCCACATACCACCTGATTAATGTTAGCCGCCTGCCCACAGTCTGTACTCCTTACTCCCATTGGTGGTGTCTGTGGAATCTCTTTTTAGAGCAGTTTTACTTTCTGGCTTGTTCTATTAACTGTGTACGTATTATCTCTTCTACACTAAGAGGCTCTTTGAGGGTGGGGAGAGTCTTTGAACCCTGTCCGCATCTATTCTTAGTGTCTAGCACATGGAACATCTTTCATGTAAGGTTGTAGGATTTATCTCTTTGTTCAGCACAAATCTGACCTGGTGCTCCAGGGGTTAGGGATGATGGGGTGTGTGTGTGTGTGTGTGTGTGTGAGTGTGACTTTAAGAGGTACCGAGAGATTTTTATGGTGATTGGAATAGTTTTGTATCTTGATTGTGATGTTGGTTATCGGAATCCACACCAATGACAAAGAAGTAGCATAGAACTATAGGTACATACCAATGTCAGTTTCCTGACTTTGATATTTACATAAAATGTAAACATTGGGGGAAACTGGGTGAAGAATATAGGGTATCTCTCTGTAATATTTTTGTAACATGTTTTGGTTCTATCATTGTCTTAAAAAAATATTTCTCCATGCCTACCTCACAGCTGTACGTTTTAGGTGCGGTGGTGGGTACCAGGGTGATCAAAAATGTCCTCAAGGATGACAGTCTCATTAGAGCAATTTTAACATGGAGATGGAGAATAATACCTCAGTACTATAATGAGTGGTTATTCTTTCTATGACATGCATTTTGGGATGGTTTGAAAATTTCTGTAAGTGTGCATATTACTTTTGCAATCAGAGAAGTAAAGATGAAATACATGGGGTATCTGGGTGGTTCAGCGGTGGAGCATGCGACTCTTGATCTCGGGGGTGCGGGTTTGAGTCCCACGTTGGGCATAGAGTTTACTTAAAAAAAAGGTGAAACACCCAACCAACTTGTACATAAAGTGAATGATTATAGCATAAAAGGGCAGCAGTGTTACACACTGAGAAGCCTGCCTGGAGGAGGATAGTCTTGAGCTGGGCAGAGTGGAAGGGAATGTGTCAGAAAATGAGGAATCTGTGAACCGAGCTGACTGTATTCCCAGCACCCTGAGTAGACCAGACTCTCTTGAGCAGATGGTGAAAGAAAATTTGGAAAAGTTGGTTGGCTGTAGTGAACGCAAACTCCTGTCATCAGGCTGAAGAGTTAGGACTTTCTGTGAAGATAGAGGGGAGCTGTGGAAGAGTTTTGAGCAGGGAGGAGACAGTATGACCCCAGCAGTGGGAGATCTACCATATGGATTGGAGTGGGTGTATCCTGGGTTCACAGAGTCTCAGAATAAAGGGAAAGACCCCTTTGTTATGTTCTCCTTCCTGTCTGCCCCTTTTCCTGCAGGTGACGTGGTCCTGTCTGGCTGTAGCACACTGAGCCTGTTGACCGCCACCCTGCAGCAGCTGAACCACGTATTTGAGCTGCACCTGGGGCCATGGGGCCCTGGCCAGACAGGTTTTGTGGCTTTGCCCTCTCACCCTGCCGACTCCCCTGTCATCCTCCAGCTTCAGTTCCTCTTCGATGTGCTGCAGAAAACTCTTTCACTCAAGGTCGCTGCAGTGGGAATGGAGTAGGATGTACGAAGAGCCCAAGAGCTGGGGGGGTGGGGGCATGGGTGCAAGAAGTCTGCAGGGCCCAGATGGAGAGGGTGTGAGAGCTGTGGGTGGTTGTGTGAGTGGGGAGAGGCCAAGGAAAGGGAAGTGTGCTGGCCTCGGTGACATGAGTTTTTTTCTTTTAGCTGGTCCATGTCCCTGGTTCTGGCCTCCCTGGGCCCATCAAGATTTTTCCCTTCAAGTCCCTTCGGCAGCTGGAGGTATGGAGTGTTGGGGGATGCCGGCACACAAAGCCCAGTTTGAGGCAACCTTTTGGGAATGGGGAAAGAGATGGCCCCCCATTGGTGGGTGGGCCAGGCCTGAGTGTGTCCACTGCTCTGCAGTAACGTGGCATTCATCTCTTCCATTTAATGCTTCCCTGAACCATAGTTGGATTTGTCATCTTTTCCCTCCCCATAAAAGAAGGAATTGAGGTGAAGCCTCTGTCTTGTGAAATTCTGTCTCCCTCCCTCCCTCCCTTTCTCCCTCCCTCCGTCTCAGCTCCGAGGTGTCCCTCTTCATTGCCTCCGTGGCCTCTGTAGCATCTACTCCCAGCTAGAGACCCTGATTTGCAGCAGGAGCATCCAGGCATTAGAGGTAAGGAGGATGGGGGCTGGGCCCAGATCCCTGTTCTGAGGGACATACAGGACCAAGCTCTGCCGTTCCCTTTTCTTTGCAGCCTTCCCTGCTTCCCGCTTCCCTTCAGACAGTGGCTTTGCCCCCTCTGCTGCACTCCTGTAGTGCTGTGTACCTGTCTGTCGTTTATGGTCACACCTGCCATCTTGTATTCAGTATTCTCGTATCCGTCTCCACATTCTTCCCACAACAGACTCCTGGGGGCAGGGCCCTGGGCTTGCTTTCAGTCTGTTTCTGCAGACCAAGCTTAGTATATAGAGAACAAATGAATGGCTGGGGGACAATGGCTTGGAGCAGGGAGGAGGGGACAGCGGAGGTAATGGAGCACCCTATCTCAGGAGCTCCTCTCAGCCTGTGGTGGTGACCTCTGCTGTGCCCTGCCCTGGCTGGCTCTGCTCTCTGCCAACTTCAGCTACAACGCACTGACTTCCTTAGACAGCTCCCTGGTGAGTGCCTCAGAGGGAAGGGGGTTTGGGGAAAGACAGGGGGGCCCTTAGGGAGGAGGGCCAGCTGGCTGCCTGGAGGTGTCTGACTCTCTGCTGCTTTTCCCATCTTCCCCCCCCCCCCCCCAGCATCTCTTGTCAGCTCTGCGCTTCCTGAATCTGAGCCACAATCAAGTCCAGGACTGCGAGGGCTTCCTGATGGTGAGTGTGAGCAGGCTGGTTGGGGCTGGCCCCACTTGGCTCTCTGGTCATCCCACTCTGACCCTCTCTCCTGGACCTGTCCCCCACCCTCCCCCAGGTAGGGCTATATCCTGGAGGCAGTACTCTTGGGGAACTCAGGCTGTAGCGTAAGAGAAGCCGGTGTTCAAATCTCAACTCCTAAATTGTTGTGTGACTCGGGACAAACTAAGCTCTGAGTTTCTTAACTGGTCAAGCAGAAATCCTAGGAGTACCTGTTTTTATAGTATTAGAGTGGTCATGGAGGTTGTGTGATGTTACTTAGCCTGGTGTCTAGCTCAGAAAAGGTAGCTTGGGGATGATGGGGAAGAATCTTCTCCAAGTCTTATTGTCAGGGACAAACAAAGTTGGATGGTAGTTACTGTGGTGAGAACAGATTTTAGTAATGCACTATTGCAGTAGTAATAAGCTATCGTGGTATGTAATCAGTAGTAGAACCATTTTAATTTGTAATAAACTTTAGCATAAACTAAACTCAAATTTGATTTGTGCAGAGATTACTGGATGTTTTAAAGGCATAGTGAGGGAGTGGGCAGGAGAAGGCAGGGACTTGAGCAGATTCTTTCCTTGACCGAACTAGTCAGTTTTATTTATTTTTATTTTTTATTTTTTTTTTTAAGATTTTATTTATTTATT